TAATGAGGCGCCACAGCTTCGTGAGCACACATTTGCGCAAATAGCGACTTGCTGAATGTAAATAATTTTCGACCATTGCAAGGAGTGTCTGGGGTGTGGATACAGATCTAAAAAGTGTTCGGTAATTCAATAAATAAATAACGCACACACTCAACATAGCCCCGCACTAGGGAAAACCCTGTGTCGCGGGTGCCATGGACACACACATAGACAACCACAAATTACACCCAAACACACGAGAGAAATAATTGTAGGCCATACAACTATTTCTCCCGGCCCGGGAATCGAACCTGGGACCTCTGCGTGGCAGTTCGGCATGATAACCGTTCGGCCACGGAGGCAGTTATATAATATAATAAAAACTTACAAAAGTTTCATTGGTAAAGAAGGATGGCGAAAGCTGCCCCAACAACGACGAAGGACTTTGCTAGTATAATTTAGCGTTTTAGTTTATGCCTAGTTATCAATATATTTTTGTATATTTTTAGAAGTAGGGTATTAAAAAAATGTAAAACATTGTATTTTAGAATAGATGCAAAAACACAACGCAATTGGTTCAGTTGGACCATAGATTTGGTGACGTACTTGTACGTAAGTTTCATTTTAAGCATGATTAAATGTTTACGTACCTGAAGTGTTGGTTATTTTATAGTACACACACAAAACATTAAAACTATAAAATAACTAATGAAATAATCAATTAGACAGTAATGACATAAAACAAAAAATAAAACACAATGTGACAAAAACATTTAGACCATATTTAAATGAGAGATAATGAAAGTTGCAAAGGAACGTTTTGACAAGAGACCTCTTGCCAATGTTAAAGTCACACTGATATTGAGAACAGTGTGACAATTTGTGGCAGATTTCTGCCATTTGGGCACATTATTCATTTTTATTGGTGCAGAAAAAGATAACTTATATTAAATGTGGCAGAGTTTGGGAATACTCGGGAGGAAGTTCTTTATTATTTTTGGGAACAAACTGAAAACTTGTTGTTTCTAACCGACTTCAAAAAAGGAGGAGGTTCTCAATTCGACTGTTTTTTTGTATGTATGTTACGCGATAACTCCGGTATTTGTGAACCGATTTTCATGTTTCTTTTTTTGTTGGAAAGAGGGTACCTCCATTTAATTTTGAAGAAAATCGTCCACCTCTAAGGGTGGCTGTTCACGCATGAAGATTCATTTTTATAAATAGCGCCTAAATTTCATTATAAGGAGCAATTATTTTAATGGTTGATTTTGCTATTCTCCAATTCAAGGAGTTTTTCTCTCTCAATATACTTTGAATAGTGAGAACCGATTTTTATTATCTCCTGTGTCAAGTCCCGTACAGTGGCGAACTAGGGGATGAATCCGGGTTTGCGCACTTTCCGGTAACCGATTTCAATAAAACTTGGTAATTATATGCAATTCAACGTACTTTTGAGGTCGGTTTTTTTTAGTATCTATATTAGTATTTATATTATCTGCTACTACGAACAAACATCTGAAGCGAAATACAGCACAATGTTATAAACATAACCTATATCAACTTTATAACCCCAGCTTCTACAGGCTGTACTCAATTAGCTTTTTTGATGCTTTGATAATGAAGCACAAGTATTGATAGATCTCCCACGATATAGCACGTCGCCAAAAACACTGGATCACAAAACACACGGGATGTCGCCATCGTTCTTTATTGTTTTCTAAAGTCATGGAACCAAAATTGTTGTTTATGATGTTAGTATTTTAAAAATAACCTTGTAGTTTCTTAGGCTCGTATTCTAGAACTGTACTCAACGCTCAAGTCAGGACTTGAGTATGATTCAAAGCACTAGAAATCATACTCAAGTCCTTGCCATTAGGGTCGTATTTCCAGTGCTTGAAATCATACTCAAGTCTGCTCAAACCCTGACTTGAGCATTGAGTAGAATTCTGGAATACGACTCTAAGCCTTTGTTTAAAGTATTCTTATTAACTGAAAGCTCATAGTTTAAAATCTTTGCCTGCAGACTTTCAGGCTGAAATAGAAAGTTACCTCATTGACAACTCAACAAAAATAATAAATAATATAGTATGTATCATAATTAGACGTCCAAAATGTAAACAAAGACATGTCATTGTCAAAATGTAAATGCAGATGTGCTAAACCTTCTATTTTTAACAGAATTCGAAAAGGAGAAAGTTCTTGTTTCCTACAATTTTAATTATTTATTTTAAAAATAAACAAAATTTTCAACAACTACACACAATAACTGAATCCACTGCGGAAACAAAAACTTTCGAGTTCGAGAAACGAAGTTCGGATAGCATTTATGACAAAACGACGGCACAAAAATGTTTTTTATAATAATTTATTTCTGGCCATGGAAACAAAGTCCCTCAGCCGAAAACATAAAAATAAGTTTTTCTGTAAATATGGCCGCCACAAAGAGGATAGGCAACTTGAGGCGGCGTGCTTGGATTGATTCGGGATTCCTTAGAACGGGCCGATATGGGTATTTTAGTTCGAGATTCGTATAATTTCGCGTTTTAATCTTCGATTAAGGCACAATAGTACTATCCTATTCCACTTTAACCTAGATTTCACAAAATAATTGAAAGTCAAAATAAAAACGACACTTTTCCCTCCAAAAGGTCCAGAGCGAATCGCACAAAAATGTTTTTGATTGTGTTACCAGTGTCATAAAATTATTTACGACTTTAACTGTTGTAAATTTTATAAGACTACAGCTTGAAAATAATTCTAAATGTCATTATCGTCAAATATAGAAAACTACCATTTAAAATGTATTTTTGTTAATTCCCTTTGTTTATAAATTGGGACATCTAATTATGATTCCTACTATATTCAGGTTTTTACCTTAGTAATGGTAAATTTTTGGTAATTTATAGCAAAAGTTCGGTGTATGAAACTGAGAAACTTTCCTTAACGGGTTAAGTGGGTGCACCTAAATTAACATGACACTGAAGCACTGAACAAATCAGCTGTAAAAATTAACAGTCATAGCATAGAAATTAAAAGCTTACCAGCCTCCTTGCTCACGCAATACGGCTGTCGCGCGTTCTTGGACATCGACACATGGACATTGTTGACCAGGTCAGGGCGGATTGAGGACTTGAACACGAATGGGAGCGGCTGGGCGACTCCCTGCACTATCTCGGACTTCTCCGAGTACACCGACACTAAAGGTCGGGCAACCGATAAACTCTGAAATGCATAATTAATATTTTAGTTAAAATTCAGGAACGTAACTCGGTACTCATTGTATTTTGCATAATTCAGAATGATTATTAATTGGACGTTTTAATTATATTTTGTGTCTATTATTTTCACTATTAATTTAAGAATGGTTATTTTTATTAATGAAATGTAGTGTATTTTTTGTTAAGGATTTTTTAAATCTTATTTCTAAAAGGCCTGTAACACTTGCGTGTCAATGTGGGCCTTGTGATGTCAATCCCTGTGGATTATTCTACTCTATCGTGTTGCCTAGAGAGAGGCAAGAGCTCACATGTGAGTACAGAGTCTTGGCCCTCTTCACAACTTGTCACGCAACACATTTATACTTTGTTTCAATCCATTTTAAACATAAACAAACAAGTCACTGGCCCCACCATAGTTTAGTGATGGCCAATTTTACTGCAAACTTCAAATCAATCGATTGATTGAATGAATTGATTTGTTGAATTTAGTCGTACCAGCGGTTTTCATTATATAACCTATAGGTTATAAAAGCATATTTAAAATTTCCATAAACTAAATTTTAAATCTTACACTTAGATAGTCGTTTGATTGTGATTGAAATTTTAGATTCACTAAATGATATAATAACTTTAAGTGAATGAACTGAATGGTTTTTTCCATACAGCACTATGCACCCATAGACAATAGTCTATTATGAGGTTATTTTTAATTAAAAAATAACCTCAATTTTTGATTACCATTTTTCAAATACGATGTTGCGATGTTATTCAAATGAACATTGTTAAAAAAGTGAAGAGACATCAAGTCAAAATCTTCGATTACACGCGAAAGTGTTGTATCCGATTTATTGAGTGATTACTTAGAAATTCAACCAAACCGTTTTGTTTACATTTCGTTTAAAATGGATTGGAACAGACTATGACCCCCCAACCTGCCAAATACCCCCTAATGGAAATTGGCTTCTTATAGCCACATAAAAGCCACGTTACATCAAATGTACTGTACTTGGTACTTGGTGCAACGGGCTGGTATCCGCAACTCGACGACAAAGCGCCTATTTTGCGTGTGGAAAAATGTACTGTATTTTTTATTAATGAATTGTATTGTAACATTTGA